GATCAACCATCTAAAGATTATGATATTTCAGTGAGATTTCACTATAAAGTGACCTAGTGGAGTGTCACTTTATAGTGAAATCTCACTGAAATATCATAATCTTTAGATGGTTGATCAGAATAAAGTATTTAGATGGGGGATCAGTATAAAGTATTTATACGGTGGATCAGTATAAAGTACTTAGACGGGGGATAAGTATAAAGTATTTAGACGGTGAATCAGTATACAGTATTTAGATGGTGGGTCAGTATAAAATGATTAGATGGTGGATCAATACAGAGTATTTAGACGGTGGATCAGTATAAAGTATTTAGATGGTGGATCGATACAAATTTTTTAGATGGTGGAGCAGTTTACAGTATTTAGATGGTGGATCAGTATAAAGTATTTAGACGATGGATCAGTATAAAGTATTTAGATGGTGGATCAGTATGGTGGATCAGTATAAAGAATTTAGATGGTGGATCAGTATGGTGGATCAGTATAAAGAATTTAGATGGTGGATCAGTATAAAATGTTTAGACGGTGGATCAGTATAAAGTATTTAGATGGTGGATCAATACAAAGTAGTTAGATGGTGGATCAGTATAAAATGTTTAGACGGTGGATCAGTATAAAGTATTTAGATGGTGGATCAGTATAAAATATTTAGACGATGGATCAGTATAAAGTATTTAGATGGTGGATCAGTATAAAGTATTTAGACGGTGGATCAGTATAAAATATTTAGATGGTGGATCAATACAAAGTATTAAGATGGTGGATCAGTATAAACTATTTAGATGGTTGATCAATACAAAGTATTTAGACGGTGGATCAGTATAAAGTATTTAAATCGTGGATCAGTATAAAGAATTTAGATGGTGGATCAGTATAAAGTATTTAGATGGTGGATCAGAATATTTTTTTTAGATGGTGGATATAAATTAATACAAAGTATTTAGACGGTGGATCAGTATAAACTATTTAGATGGTGGATCAATACAAAGTATTTAGATGGTGGATCAGTATGAAATATTTAGATGGTTTATCAGTATGAAGTATTTAGACGGTGGATCAGTATAAAGTATTTAGATGGTGGTTCAGTATAAAGTATTTAGATGGTGGATCAATACAAAGTATTTAGATGGTGGATCAGTATAAAGTATTTAGATGGTGGATCAGTATAAAGTATTTAGATGGTGGATCGATACAAAGTATTTAGATGGTGGAGCACTATACAGTATTTAGATGGTGGATCAGTATAAAGTATTTAGACGATGGATTAGTATAAAGTATTTAGATGGTGGATCAGTATAAAGTATTTAGATGGTGGATCAGTATTAAATATTTAGACGATGGATCAGTATAAAGTATTTAGATGGTGGATCAGTATAAAGTATTCAGATGGTGGATCAGTATAAATTATTTAGATTGTGGATCAGTATAAAGTATTTAGATGGTGGATCAGTATAAAGTATTTAGATGGTGGATCAGTATAAAGTATGTAGATGGTGGATCAGTATGCAGTATTCAGATGGTGGAACAGTATAACATAGTTAGACGACGGATAAATATGAAATATTTAGACAGTGGATCAGTATGAAATATAAACGCGATTGATTAATATGAAATATTTAGACAGTGGATCAGTATGCAATATTAAGATGGTGGGTCAATATAAAAAAAAAAAAGCTTGGATCAATATAAAATATTAAGACGATGGATCATCATTATATATCATGTCTTAGATTGAGAAAAAGTACATTCGAGTAAGTACAGAAACCAGCCGTCATTTATTTCCTTTACATTAGCATCATAATAAGCTACTTCAAAATACATCATAAATTAGTCGCATTTTACTTTTTGTAATTTATGAAAGATCAACGACCTTAAATATATTATGCACTATGAAAGTATTGCATAATTTGCAACAAGGACATCGAAATTAAACTTTCCTCCGGGAAACTACTAAATTAGACGATAATACATGGTGTGTACAGGCGGAAACGACGTGTTACGTAATACTTCAATTAAAATATTCCTAAAAGCCAAGGGCGTTTGGTTAAAAATATTTGACGGAATGCAACCCAAGTACGAATAGTCATAAAAACATCACTGCGTCATATCTGGAATATCCCAGTGTTTCTATTGAAATATTTAATGGTGCTGATATGTTGGTCTCTGTTTGGGGTTCTTTGTCCTTGTAACAGCCAAGGTCGTCTGAAGACGATGTCCACGGACGATAGGACCTCTTCAAAGTGCCATTACACTAAAACGTCATAACCTGGACACGACATCATGACACTCCAGCAGGTCACTTTATAGTGCCATCTCACTGAAATGTCATAGCCTGGACACGACATCATGACACTCTACCAGGTCACTTTATAGTGCCATCTCACTGAAATGTCATAGCCTGGACACGACATCATGACACTCTACCAGGTCACTTTATAGTGCCATCTCACTGAAATGTCATAGCCTGGACACGACATCATGACACTCTACCAGGTCACTTTATAGTGCCATCTCACTGAAATGTCATAGCCTGGACACGACATCATGACACTCTACCAGGTCACTTTATAGTGCCATCTCACTGAAATGTCATAGCCTGGACACGACATCATGACACTCTACCAGGTCACTTTATAGTGCCATCTCACTGAAATGTCATAACCTGGGCACGACATCATAACACTCCATTAGGTCACTTTATACTGCCATATCACCGAAATGTCATAACCAGGACACGACATCATGATACTCCAGCAGGTCACTTTATAGTGCAATTTGTGACTGAAATGTCAAAACCTGGACATGACATCATGACACTCCATCAGGTCACTTTATACTGTCATATCACCGAAATGTCATAACCTGGACACGACATCATGATACTCCAGCAGGTCACTTTATAGTGCAATTTGTGACTGAAATGTCAAAACCTAGACACGACATCATGACACTCCACTAGGTCACTTTATAGTTCAATCTCAATGAAATGGTCATAACCTGGACACGACATCATGACACTCCATCAGGTCACTTAAAACATGCCATCTCGATGAAATATCAAAACCTGGACATAACATCATGACACTCCAACAGGTCACATTATAGTACCATGTCACTGAAATGTCATAAGCTGGACACGACATTATGACACTCCACTAGGTCACTTTATGGTGCTATCTCAATGAAATGGTCATAACCTGGACACGACATCATGCCACTCCATCAGGTAACTTTATGGTGTCATCTCGATGAAATATCAAAACCTGGACATGACATCATTACACTCCAACAGGTCACATTATAGTACCATGTCACTGAAATGTCATAACCTGGGCACGACATCTTGATTGACACTCCACCAGGTCATTTTAAAGTGTAATCAAAATTAAATGTCATAACCTGGACACAGCACCATGACACTCCATCAGGTCGCTTTATAGTGCCATCTCACTGAAATGTCATAACCTGAACGAGACATCATGACACTCCACCATGTCACTTAAAAGGTGTCATCCCAGTGATATATCATAGCAAGGACACGACATCATGGCACTCCATCAGGTCACATTATACTGATACGACACCATGACACTCCACTAGGTCACTTTATAGTGCCATCTCACTGAAACGTCATAACCTGGCTACGACATCATAAAACTCAACCATGTCAATTTATATTGCCATCTCACTGAAACGTCATAACTTGGACACGACATCATGATACTCCACTAGGTCACTTTATAGTGCAATCTCACTGAAATATCATAACCTGGACACGACATCATGACACTCCACCATGTCACTTAAAAGGTGTCATCCCACTGATATATCATAGCATGGACACGACATCATGGCACTCCATCAGGTCACATTATACTGATACGACACCATGACACTCCACTAGGTCACTTTATAGTTCCATCTCACTGAAATATCATAATCTGGACACGACATCATGACACTCCACTAGGTCACTTTATAGTGAAATCTCACTGAAATATCATAACCTGGACACGCCATCATGGCACTCCATCAGGTCACATTATACTGAAACGACACCATGACACTCCACTAGGTCACTTTATAATACCATCTCACTGAAACGTCATAACCTAGACACGAGATCATGACACTCCACCATGTAAATTTATAGTGCCATCTCACTGAAACGGCATAACTTGGACACGACATCATGATACTCCACTAGGTCACTTTATAGTGCAATCTCAGTGAAATATCATAATCTGGACATGACATCATGTCACTCCACTAGGTCACTTAATAGTGCAATCTCAACGAAATGTCAAAACCTGGACATAACATCATGACACTCCATCAGTTCATTGTATAGTGTCATCACACTGAAATGTCATTATCTGAGTTAGACATCATGACACTCCACCATGTCAATTTGAAGTGTCATCACACTGAAATGTCATTACCTGGATATGACATCATGACACTCAACCATGTCAATTTATTGTGTCATCACACTGAAATGTCATAATCTGGACATGACATCATGACACTCCACCATGTCAATTTATAGTGTCATCACACTGAAATGTCATAATCTGGACATGCCATCATGACACTCCACCAGGTTACTTTATAGTGCCCTCTCACTGAAATGTCATTACCCGGACATGACATCATGACACTCTTCCAGGTCACTTTATACAGATAATGGACTGAAAAGTCCTTACCCTCAACAATTCAAAGCTTTTGACGTCAAGCAAATGGAAGTCTTCGTTCAGAGGACAAACCCCGAAATCTCCTTGCTTGGGTGAACACTCAACACAAAGGGAAAAAGAGTGCTTAGTAGGGTATCAGGAAACAAAAGTTGTCAGGAAAACAAATTGTGAAAACAAAATGTCGCTAAGTGTGAAGCACATCACTTCCGGTTGCTTGCTTTCATGATTCCAAGAAAAGGACAAGTACAAGTAGCATCTATTGGTCGTTTTGATCAGGTGATATCATACTTACATACTAATGCCATTTCTTTAATTGATATGCCACTTCAAGTAGCTTCGACATATTTGTGGATGTCGTCTGTATCTGATTTGAGCTGTTGAATGGCCCCATCATTGCCTTATTACTTAGCTGTTTAATGACTTCATCATCCTTGGGCCTCGTCATCGTGTGACTTTAGCTCTTGAATGTTGTCATCATCTGTGGGCAACGTCATCATATGACCTTTTCTTAGTGTGACTCGCCATACATCACCGTGTTATTCCATTCATTGATAAAACAAATTTGTTGTTTAGGAAACTGGAAAAGCAACATCGTATGACATTACACTATATATCAATCCAGAAAGCAGTGATCGATGAATGTTTGAGCTTTGGAGATTTCTGCTGTGAAAAAGTTCCGAAAATAAAAATTATGTAAACTATATTTTATCACATTTATTTAGAATTAAAAAAAACACCCAACCATTTGAAAGAAAACAGGAATGCAAACATTAAAAACATCTAGATAACAGAAAATTACGTAAACTATTAAAGGGAGATTACTTTAACACAAATGCCAGTTAAAATGTACAAGATAGCATAACACCTTAAGTCAAAATGAAAATTCAACGTTTACTTATACCCAGTTTTTGAGTACATGTGTACACATGCCATATGTGACACATAAGTTGGCCAAAAATACGGCTTGATTATCACCCATGGTTAGGGACATTGTGTCTGAAATAAAGTCAAGACTTATTACATGTCAGGTACATAACATTCGAACTTGCTAGGAAACGATCGTAACCGCTGCTATACACATTACCTGGGTTCGTGGTGGTCCATATGTGCACGGGCCCAGGTTCGCAGGTTCTGATAAGGGAGCAATCTCTGAAATGCTAGAAATAAAAGTGTTACAAATATAGTTCCTTCCAAAATAGAACACAAGTAACCTTTACTTTCATAAATGCTGAAGTTGACGTTCCTTTAATGTGTGTGTTCTGTGAATACAAATTTTAAACACACATTATTATCTTATTGGGATTAAACAGGATTAGTCAGGCAGACTACTTGGTTGTGCGCTTAGCATACTACACAGCACATTTCCTGCATATCGCCTTCATTTCGTACCCCTACCTACCCAAGCCGAAGGCGAATTTTTCCCCAAATGATTAACCTGTTGTTTTATATCGGAATCACCTGTTTATTGAGTTAACATGTCACAGTTGATTGGCTAATCCAGTTCTTAATCCTGGTAGCATGATGTCCTCGCAGAAACGTGAGTTTTCTGTTTCCTCTTTTCGATTACACTGATCAAAAACATCAACACTACAGCTCTGCCGCCATTGCAACGCTATGGACCTCTATACTACTTTAGCTCTTATCGTTACTCAGCTTTTCGGCGGTGTCTTCGTAGGTGACCTTTGCAGGTTCAGAGAAAGAAAAGACCTGTTTTATCCCAATGCATTTTTGTAAGAGGCGACTAATGCGTCCCAATGCAGATTTGGGGGTAGTTTTTCCCTTTTTATTTTATTTGTTTAAGAGACATTAAAGAAACCGAAAATAACCTGCTGTTGTATCGTAAAAGGCGACTAATGCGGGGCTCTCTGCAGCATCGGGGTTTTTCTTTAGTGTCTTCTACTAAAATTGATACCAAAATTGAGATGCTGCCTCCATCACAACACTTGGGATATTTTACGTTTCCTATACTTGCTGCCGCCTACCTATTTTTACCGGATGTAACTTTTCTGTTTCAGGCGGTGTCTTCCTAAGCACCCGTCCTCATTTGACCCTGGCTGTTGTGTCTCCCTAAGCACCCGTCCTCATTTGACCCTGACTGTTGTGTCTCCCTAAGCACCGCCCCTATATGACCCTGGCTGTTGTGTTTTCCTAAGCACCCGTCCTCATTTGACCCTGGCTGTTGTGTCTCCCCAAGCACCCGTCCTCATTTGACCCTGGCTGTTGTCTCCTTAGGCGCCCGTCCTCATTTGACCCTGGCTGTTGTCTTCCTAGGCGCCCGTCCTCATTTGACCCTGGCTGTTGCCAGGACGTTAAACCGCAAACAAACAAACAGAACAAAAAACAAACAAGTTTGCATTCATACCTCCGGTAGCCCTGTCAGATTTATATGACAAGGGGTGAGGGGGAGGGTGTGTGTGTGTCTCGTGCTACATTGTCCAACTTACGACTCTTCAGTGAGCGATGGCAACTGTAAAGTGGCGCTTGATTTGGCTTCAATTTCCTGTGGACCTTAGCTGTCACTTTAGTCTGGTTACAGTAGTTGTGATCAATTCACTGATAAAAATTTCCATTGAGGAATCATGCATTCCACACCATGATCTCATTTCAAACTATGGAAAATTTCATTAAATATTCATAAGAAAATAAAGTGAAAAGGGGAAAAATAAACACAGAACGCAATGGGGAATAGCGTAATCGTTAAAGTGTTATAGCTGTTTATGATGTATGAACAAACTATAAACTCACTACACCTAGTAGTTAAATGGCTATTTGATTTATCAGGTACCTTCTCACCAGAATAATGTAGGCATCGTTAAACAGTAATTGTACACAACGATAAATTACATTTACTTATGATTGATACAATAGGTTTCCTACAACCTTTGATTCTGCTTACATGATTCATAGTGTCTGTTTGCCTTTCTGTATATGAGATATGTTTATATATATAAATACATATTTTTTTTCTAATTAATTTTAAAAACAAGTTTACTTATTCTTATCTTTGTGAGGTTTTGAATGTGTTATAAATATATATGTAAATTACAGCTCTTATGAAGAGCAAACAAACGTCACTCTAATAATACCAACCATCTATTACATAACGTAGAAATGCATTGTGCATTGTATATTTCTTTAAAAAATTAAATGCTAAAACACAGCTTTTAAAATTGCATTAGTAATTACCTTACGAAGGTGATCTTGAATGATTCATAATTCCCTGTTCCAGTGACATTGCATCGACCCTGAAAACCTGTCATGTTGTCACTGTAAATTTCCTGCTATCTAAGGTGACTTTCCCGACCTCTACCTGCTGGCTTTTGCATAGGTTTTAAGGAATATTACAGATCAATTCTTAATGAAAGCTGCATTAGTCATTAGTATGGCTTCGTCATTTACTTCGTATACACGTCTTACTAAGAGTCTCACCTTTACTTTTATATTCTTACTTCAAGTCTAATTGATTATGTAATTGGCGATAACGTTTGATTGTAAATGTGGAAATTGTCTAGACTAATTCATGATAAAACAAAGATAACATTTGTGCCGGGACCAATTGATCGTAGTTTCCTCTCCGAGTTTTACACAATTCGGACGTATTTGTTACCTGCTGATTTGGGGGGAAAGCATTAAAGATTAACTTTATATTTTGTTTTTATATCGGGAATTGAATACCGGTATAAATGAACAAAATGGAAGGTAACCATACATTTATTGTTTTTTTTTTATTCATCCTGGCCCTGTTTGTGTTTCTTCGCTCAAAAGATTCATGGAAAATCAATAATGCAGGCAATCAGTATGGCGAAGGGAAAAAGGAACTTCTTGGAACATCTTATAGTTTGACGTCTCTGATACCATAGCAACAAACCAAACGACCACTTTTTATCTTTCACGTTTTTTTCATTTCATAATCCTAACTAACATCTTGGATATACGTCAATAAAGAACTGGCGGGGAGAAACAAAATCCTCGTACACTTTTAAGCCAGAAAACCCTAATTATAAAACGGTAACTCTCCATTAAAAAAACCCACCAAACGGTGGAGTATCACCACGAGAGCAAGACCAATTCTTTTGTTTTGTTTTGTTTATTGTTTTGTATTTGTTTTACGGCCCATCAAAATGTAGAGGTCATTAAGTGCGAAACAACACCGCGTCTAACGCAAAATCAAACTAGGAATAAACAAAAAGGTAAAAAGGTGTTAAAACGTAAAAAAAATCACCATCCACAATAGCTATAACAGCAAGCATTATCTTGGGGTAGCAGTATTTGGGCCTGCATAGATTATGGAGTCAATTAAAACTCTACTGTATACATATAGCCTGTTGTATTGCAGATGGATGACTTATGTGGAACCAATGCATCAAAAGAAGTCTTCATAAGCCTTCTGCTTAGGATATATCAAAAGAGACCAGAAATAGTCTGCTGATCCAATTAAATATGTTATACATTTGCTTTTGTTTCTTTTTTTCATCATATAAAATTTCTATTTCCTTGTACGGCTTCCACAATTGTTGTTATGTTTGTGTACCTTTATGACTACCGTGTGGCCCTGTCTAAGACTACCGTGTGGCCCTGTCTAAGACTACCGTGTGGCCTTGTATAAGACTACTGTGTGGCCCTGTATAAGACTACCGTGTGGCCCTGTTAAAGACTACTGTGTGGCCCTGTATAAGACTACCGTGTGGCCCTGTATAAGACTACCGTGTGGCCTTGTATAAGACTACTGTGTGGCCTTGTACAAGACTACTGTGTGGCCTTGTACAAGACTACTGTGTGGCCCTGTATAAGACTACTGTGTGGCCCTGTATAAGACTACCGTGTGGCCATGTATAAGACTCCCGTGTGGCCCTGTATAAGACTACCGTGTGACCTCGTATAAGACTACCGTGTGACCTCGTATAAGACTACTGTGTGGCATTGTATAAGACTACTGTGTGACTCTGTATAAGATAACCGTGTGGTCATGTATAAGACTACTGTGTGACCCTGTATAAGACTACCGTGTGGCCCTGTATAAGACTACCGTGTGGCCCTGTATAAGACTACTGTGTGGCATTGTATAAGACGACTGTGTGGCCTTGTATAAGACTACTGTGTGGCCTTGTATAAGACTACCGTGTGGCCCTGTATAAGACTACTGTGTGGCCCTGTATAAGACTACTGGTTGGCCCAGTATAAGACTACCGTGTGGCCTTGTATAAGACTACTGTGTGGCCTTGTATAAGACTACCGTGTGGCCCTGTATAAGACTACTGTGTGGCCCTGTATAAGACTACTGGTTGGCCCAGTATAAGACTACCGTGTGGCCTTGTATAAGACTACTGTGTGGCCCTGTATAAGACTACCGTGTGGCCCTGTATAAGACTACTGTGTGGCCCTGTATAAGACTACCGTGTGGCCCTGTATAAGACTACTGTGTGGCCCTGTATAAGACTACCGTGTGGCCCTGTATAAGACTACTGTGTGGCCCTGTATAAGACTACCGTGTGGCCCTGTATAAGACTACTGTGTGGCCCTGTATAAGACTACCGTGTGGCCCTGTATAAGACTACTGTGTGGCCCTGTATAAGACTACCGTGTGGCCTTGTATAAGACAACTGTGTGGCCCTGTATAAGACTACCGTGTGGCCCTGTATAAGACTACTGTGTGGCCCTGTATAAGACTACCGTGCGGCCCTGTATAAGACTACCGTGTGGCCCTGTATAAGACTACTGTGTGGCCCTGTATAAGACTACCGTGTGGCCTTGTATAAGACTACTGTGTGGCCCTGTATAAGACTACCGTGTGGCCCTGTATAAGACAACTGTGTGGCCCTGTATAAGACTACCGTGTGGCCCTGTATAAGACTACTGTGTGGCCCTGTATAAGACTACCGTGCGGCCCTGTATAAGACTACCGTGTGGCCCTGTATAAGACTACCGTGTGACCTCGTATAAGACTACCGTGTTACCCTGTATGAGACTACCGTGAGGCCCTGTATAAGACTACCGTGTGGTCCTGTATAAGACTATCGTGTGAACCTGTATAAGACTACTGTGTGACTCTGTATAAGATAACCGTGTGGTCCTGTATAAGACTACTGTGTGGCCCTGTATAAGATAACCGTGTGGCCCCGTATAAGACTACCGTGCGACCTCGTATAAGACTACCGTGTTACCCTGTATGAGACTACCGTGAGGCCCCGTATAAGACTACCGTGTGGTTCTGTATAAGACTATCGTGTGAACCTGTATAAAACTACTGTGTGACTCTGTATAAGATAACCGTGTGGTCCTGTATAAGACTACCGTGTGGCCCTGTATGGGACTACCGTGTGGCCCCTGTATACGACTACCGTGTGGCCCTGTATTAGACTACTGTGTGGTCCTGTATACAAAATGTAAATAACGTTGCATTTTAATTTAGACGGGATGCATGTTAGGGGAGATAACCTTCTTTCGATTCGACTGTTAATTTAGTTTTCATTATAGCGTCATATATGGTATGATACCAGGATTAAATTACGATTGACTGCCATGTCATGTTAAACGCAATAACAGCATTGTCTCCCGAGAAATTGAGATCTCTTTAGCGCTATAGTGAATCAGA